CGTTGACCATGTAAAGTAGCCGAAATCATGGCGCTAATCCGCTAGCGGTGAATTGTGCAAGCTGCAGTCAACATAGCCGGTGAGTTTGTGGATCCTAGAAACTCCCATAAAGCTGCGCAAAAGTTTGAATTTCTGCGTAGTTCGGCTTCATGGGGGCACTTTGCTAGTTAGTATACCACTGCCGATGCCTCAAGATCGCGTGTGAATTGCTGTAAAACTATGCAGTAGCATGAACTCCGTTCGCACTTGACATGAGACTCTACTTGTTTTGCTAGAGTGAGACGTGTAGTTCGAAAGGAATTAGCAAAAGGAACCAGCGAACGTGCAAAATACCCTCTCCCCTCTCCTTCACTAAGCCGATCAGGGCCTAATATGTTTTCTACGACATCTTCGAATCTGGAAATGAGCTAGGGAAAGGTGGGAGGACAATGCGGAAAAACATCAATTCCGTGGGAGAAAAATCATTACTAAATGGGAAAACCACGTTTTTCCTCAAGAAGCTGCTTCGCGCGGGTATGTGACAAGAGGATCGTAATTTGCCGCGCTGCTGGGCGTCGCGTGCGACGTCCCGCCCGCAAAGGACGATGGTTTCAGGCAGTAGATGGCGACAACATGCAATTAAGGACCGAAAACAGTAATGAGTGTCTACGATGACGGGGTCTACATGAAGTCCGGTGCTTCATTCGACAGGTTAAAACGAGTTATGAAAACGCCGCGCGTGGCGGTGCGGCGAATTACGATCCTCTTTACCGTCTCCCGCTTCGCGCGCCTCGGATCTCCTTGCCCTGAGCCCGAACGACGCTCCCATCCTGGCTCTTTCCATGGTCACTGACACGTCATCTAGCAGCGAGGCAAAGGCCTTTCATAGTTCGCCTAGGTTTCTTTGAGAGTCAACGCGCTCGAGCGCTGAGTCGGATGTATGGCCATACGCCCTCTCACAGCCCTTCTACAAATGACGCTGGCAACAATCTCCCGCCCCAGAAGTCGTCTCATGCCTTTGAATATGCGAGTGCAATATTCAGCCCTAGACGACCCCAACTTCGTTTTCGTAGTAGCCAATGAGAGGCAGTTCGGCTAGGGGGGGGGGGGGGAGGAGGGCATTTTGCACTTCTGCTACTTCCCATCGACGTGTCGACCCATCTAGGGAGCTATTTCGTGAGCTTACAAGAGTTGACAGGTTTCACCATGGTTACTGGACGATCTTCCAGCCTCACAGGTTCCTTTAGAATGAAACTGGTAAGCCGGCACTAGTGAAGCAGCGGAAGTGAAAAATGCCCCTGTCGCCGAACTGTGCCGGCAACTGCAAACTTTTGAAAATCGATCTATCTTTATCTATGCAATTAATTAATACAGGTACTCGTCAAACTTAACCAGAGAAGTGTACCTAACTAGACTACAATTTGAGCCACTGGGACAGGACACAAAAAACAAAACCTAAGCTGCAGGGGGACATTTCGCCATGACCAAAAAACACGATCACAAATCAATTATTAACTAGTTTTCACCAAGCGCATGCACAATTAGAGTATCATAAAACGAAGTGGTAACTATTAACAAAAAGCAGATCTTTAAATGCTATTAATAGCCTTTCCACAGTAAGCTGCGAGATTTGCTTCACGGAAAGCTTCAGAGAGAGTCTGAAAAAGAATGATTCAGAAATGGTTGTCATGACAGAAACGGGAAAGGTGCAGCTCGGGGTACAAGTGGGGCTCGTTAGAGGCTAGTCTACTTTGGGTGCCACTCGAGGGATGCGACGAAGCGCGACGTTGCGCGATGACGTTACCACGAAGCTTAAACCTGCTAGTGTTTTGCAGGTATTTATCAGTCCCTCAGTGTTCTACGCCAGCGATTCGGATCTCACCTACAGCTCAAGTCTATTCTGTGGTACACCAAGACGGAACGAACTCCTGCGAACGGCGCTGCATTATCCGATGCTTACCAGGGAAGTCCACCAAATTACCATGGAACTTTGAATGTAGACCTGGGTAGATCGATAGAGTCTATAAGGTTATTCACAAATATAGATAGCAAAACTGCAACCTGCATTTCACAAGCAACTTATGAGCAGGTAAAGTTGTAATGCATGCAGTAGAGGGAGGCTTGTTGGGGGCTGTGAGCCATAAGAGAGAACCGCATAAGTCGAATCGAGTCGTCGAACGTGGAGCCTTACCACTGACTGAACCACCACGACTCGATTCGACGTATGCGATTCCTCGCTTATGCTTCACAGCTCACCACCAAGCCTCCACCCTACTGCACCATTACAACTTTACCTGCTCATAAGTTGCTTGTGAAATGCAGGTTGCAGTTCTGCTATCTATGTTTGTAAATGATCTTATAGACTATCGATCTACCCAGGTCTCCAGGTCAAAGTTGGCGGACTTCCCTGGTCAGGGGGGAAGATTGCCCTTTACAAGTATATGGGGACCGAGTTGGAAACGCGTACAGTGAGCTTCGGAGAGATTTTTTCTTAGAGCCAACACAACGGCTGCTGAGAATATCAACAGCCCACTTACGGATCGAGCGCTGGCATACTCGAGCAACGTCTTCCGCGGACGCTCCATATTCTAGTGCTAAGCAACCCTCAGCGATCATCTCTCCAGCATTCTACAAAAAATTTTCAAAGAAGGTCTATTAAAAGTCCTAAATAATAAACAAAAAACCAGGAATCTTGCGGAAAAAAAGTTTTATGCGAGCAAAAGAACGAAATTCGCAAAGTGTCAACCTAGTGAAAATTGTGAAATGAGTTTATAATGTTCTGCTAACACTACCGCGTCCAATGATATGTCACTCCTGAGCGATCCGTATCTGTTTGTTTGTCAGCTGAATCTTGACGAATCCTTCGGTGCATGTCGAAATTCGTTTTGGCACAGTGAGTTTGCATGAAACGGATTTTCAACTTAGTACTCGATTTTCGGGAAAGAAAGCGTTTAGCATGCTCTTATTCCCGCCTTTTGTTAGCTAAAGTCACCTTCAAAATATTTCCTAAAACATTTTCTGAAGAAGAAAGTTACAAAAGTCAGTGGCTTGATAACAAGATGAAACAATTGACCTCTTCTTTTAGTTGTTCCTCAGGTTTTCCTACCCAAGCAACTTCAGGGTGAGTATAGATAACCGACGGAATGCAGTTATAGTCGATATGCACTGGTCCACCACAGATTCCTTCCACACAAAGAATACCTGTAATCGGAAGCATAAATAAATCACAGCGTTGAATAACGATAACAGTAAGAGCCTAGCCCAACAAATTTGAAAACGTGTGTCAAAAAAAGACATCAAAGATTACGTTCGCCCTATCCTGGAATGTGGTACAACGGTATTTAACCCCTACATCCAAAAAAGATATTCAAGCGCTGGAATCTGTTCAGAACAACTTTACTCGTAAACTAATGCTTAGATGTACGGGCTTAAACTACTTAGATATACCTAGAGGTTTTGTTAGGAATACGACGTACGGGCTTAAATCTCTCGAGTGGAGAAGGAAGAGATATGATTTACTGATGGCTTACAAAATATTAAATGGCTTAGTGAAATTGGACGTTGAACAGTTTTTCCAAGTACTGTACTAACTAAATACAGAGGAGGTTTAGTATCGCAGAACTTAGTGGCCACGTTTGCCCTAGACTCAGCACAGGTCACAGGCTTGGGGTTTTTTTTAGTAATAGAACTTGTACCAACTTCAATTTGCTCTTACGTTCGAATGTGTTCCCCTTAAAGTATGGTACTTTCAAGAGGCGGGTCGGTGATTTCATTTGAAGTGTTGTAGCTACTGCTCTGCAATATGTGAGCTTCAGAAAGCAACTTTAATCTGTTTTATCTGAGCTGGTTTTCTCTATGTTTTTTGTGTTGTTTTTAACATTTAGTTTTGTCCTGTTTTATGTTCTATGTGCTATCGCACGTCCAATAAATTCGGAATTGAAAAAAAGAATGGCTCGTTGTTTCGCTCTCAGGATGACCAGAGTGATATTCATATTGCGTGGAATTCTCTCTTGAAAAGAATCCCCGCGCTCAAGCGTCGTTCATCGGTTCAAAGCTATTCTGCGTTCTTAGGCGCTTTCCCTTCAGCTTCTAGGGGTTTACAATGCTGGCGCCTCGACGTAAGTAAGAAGCGCCTGTGGCGCTCATAAGGGGAAGTTCTAACGTAGATTTTGCTTCTTCCCTGTTGGATAGCATTAGGATAAGATAATGACGAGAAACGAATACTGTTTTGCTGGCATGAAAAAAAGCAGGTCCGGAGAAATCTTTCCTGAGGCTGCCAAGTGTCCTTATGATGTTTCTTGAATTTTGCCCCAATTTTTTCTTACTTTTTCTACCCTGGACGGTCACACAACGACAACAGGTTCCTTACTGAGCGCCACTACCCACAATATGCAATCGAGGGATTTGTCTTCAAAAATGAAAGGTGGTTGCTGCCGTGGCCAGTGGGCGGAGCGCCGCCTTGTGGCCAGCGCGCCGCGCTTCGCTCTATATTCTCAAGCGGACAGGACTACTATAGAGATGTCTGAGTATCAAATGACCCCGGGGTGGTTTTAAGTAATGATAAATCAAAAGTAAACGATACAGGTAGGCAGCGGGCTAATCCCGACAACAAAAGTTTCCGTATCAGCCCAGTAGTATCGATCATAACCTCTATGTTGGGGAAGAACAACTTTCAGAGCAGTTCAATTACTAACCTTCATCTTCAGCTTTGTGAGCAAGCATAGGTCCAGCAATGCAGTCCCCGATAGCGTATATTGATGGGACCTGTACGTTAGAATATTCAAGAGAAATCGTTACAAAACTAGACCCATTTCACCGATAAGGGCAAGGATAGCAGTATGCTTTGAGAATCACCTTGGTCTGGAATCGCTCATTCACGGGTACTCGGCCTTTTTCATCAAGTTGAATGCCCACATTTTCGACTCCTAGCTCTTTAGTGTAAGGACGTCGGCCGATGGATACCATCAGGACATCACAATCTAACTGAAAAACAATCGTACAAATGAGGCAGCAAACAAGGCGTTTCAAACGCTTACTAGAATTACTTACGGTCTGCTTCTTGCCATCTTTTACACCTTCTATTTCAACCTTAATATTGTCTCCATCCTTCTGAGCGCTCATTACCTGAAATTGTGACAACAACATGAAATAAACCGCAATCAATGATTAAGTTCTCAAACCTCCGGCACCATTACAATATTGCGATATCGAAAACTCGAAAAAAAAATCCGCTGACTCTTCCTATATACGTCATCTGGTGCCCTGATCACGAATATGGCATTCGGTTTTGTCTCTGGCCCCGATTCGAGCAAAATGCCTGATTTGGCGAGATCACCTTTTTCACCAACTTCGATGAAACTGCATAAGAGGGTTGACTGATGTTCTTATCACGATCAGATATTCATTTTTGGATACCGACGCAATATATCGCTCTGCTGGAGCTGCGACTGGGAGGAGTGATTCCCTCCTCGCTAGGCTCAGCCTCAGCAGAGCGCAGATGATCAGAATGCCCTACAGTATTACCGGCGCCAAAAATGAATAATGTCATGTGTATGAATATGATACGAAATTTTCGTACACAGTTTTCACCGATTTAGGCGAGAAAGGCGGTGGCGCCAAATGGGCGCCTGTTGACGTCAAATAGCCAAAAAGGAGTATCATATTAT